TTGTTATTATTTTTAGGGTTCCGTACCTCAAAACGAAAAGAAACCCTTATAGGATCACTTTGTTGTCCGTCTGTCTGTCTGTCTGTCAAGACTCTTTTTCTCAGGAACGCGTGGAGGTATCAAGCTGAAATTCATACCAAATACTCAAGTCTACTGTCCCTTAGAGCTGTGATAAAATCAAAATTCTAAGCTAACGCAATCAAAAGATACAGCCGTTTATGCCGCAAATTTTCGACATTCGCAAGGGAATCAAAACCTACAGGGTACTTCCCGTGAACTCAGGATCTTAAAATTTGGTACAAAGCACCGTTTTATAGCACAGATAAGGTAAAAATTGCGAAAAGTATAAATTTTTAGTTACATCATATAGTAAAATAATTTTTAATAGTTTTAATCTTATATACCTACGGATTTGTTCGGAGCCCTCGGTGCGCAAGTCCGACTCGCACTTGGCCCGTTTTTTATGAACTGTATGATAATTAAGTGACTAGTTTTATTTTTTGTTATTATAATTTTAAAATTGTTTAAATAAAATATTGTATATTATGTTATGTAATAAAAAATGTAATATGTATAAATATTAAACTTTAAATTAAACTGTAAACAATAAAGCTCTAACTATGTGGGCTCCAGCCAGAGGTCGCAAAAAAAAAAGCAATCTTTATTTAATATATATTTAATTTAAAGTAATTATTACAATTAATTCTTATAACTAAGTGAGGTGACTCTAATTCGATGTTTGAATGTAGAATGGATTCACACGGTAAAATATTAGAACCAGGTAATACAAGACAGTAGACACGTTATGCTGACACGGCGCCTCGTGATCGTCGTAAGCCGATGCAACGCAGCAGATTGCCTGGATTAGGGCTGCGTAACACCTCCCCCCGAAGAACAGCGACTATGAAAGACCTTGGTCGTGAATTGAGCTGGGAGTTGATCGGGATCAATCTTCTCAGTGTCTGGAACAGCGTATACCCTTAATGATTTAGGATGGTCCTCTTCTGAGTTCCTTTGCGTACCTCCAGTTGGCTTCGGCTTGTATCTTCTATAGAGTATGCATAGAATCAGTGCACCTGCACTTATTATTAATGCGTAAAACGGTATTGTAGTATGATATAGACTGTAGTCATCGTTTCTTCCTAAATTCAATGGCGATTGCTGGGATATTTTAGTGTTCGTTGCATGAAGATTTTGGAGGTTTATTGAATTTAGTTTATATGCCGATGCAGAAGATGGGATGCTGGTGTGTTCCTCAGATATGTCCATTATTTTTAAGGCTTGTCCCTTCAATCGATCTTTAGTATTTGAGATCGAGAATAGTGGCGTTTCTATGTAGCATTTCAGAGGGACAATAACGAGATAACTACCTTGAAGTATTTTGTAGAGATCTTGTCCACAGGATAGATGTACTTTCGTTGGTGTGGGGAAAGTGTTGGTGTAATGCTTGTCGTCTAGTTCTTCGTAAGCTGGTTTATCTAGGGTGACCGTATACGGGTTACATACTGCATTCGTCTGTTGTTTAGTGATGAGGTGATGGATGCAATCAGGGGATGTTTGACCTCTCATGCTCCGCTTTTCTTTACAGATGTACCATTTACTGGTCTTCGGGCATTCTGCCTCTATGTACTGAAAATCTTTCTGATAAATGGCTAGGAATGGAAAGGGTGGTGTGAGGATTTCGTGTCTCTTGTTAGGAACAATAGATAACTTATACATATCATATATATGGGGTAATAGAATTGGGAACTTAAATACTATTACTATTTCATTTCCTACATAATATGAACCTAATCTAATAATATCATAGTATTCCCTAATATCTAAATCTCCTACCTTTTTACTTCCATAAATTTCGGTTGCTCTGTTAATCATTATTCGGATAGATTCTAAATTAACTATAGAGTGGTGCATAGTGTTAGCTCTTATAAATGCTAAGTTGTTTTGTAACTTAATTAATTCCTGTGAAATGGAATCAACGTTATCACTAAGGATCATTAGTACTTGTCCAAAATGGGCATATTTAATTAGGTCGTAGTCTCTGGTAGCCTCGGATTGATTTATTTTACCTATTAGTATTTCTAACTTATTTTGATTATCTACAATGCTTTCTATTATTTTGGAGTATTGATTTGATAAGTCTTTAGTTAGGCCTACATGATTATTAAATTCCGTAACGATTTTATTTTCGTCTTCGCGGATGGATTTTATAGCGCGATTAAAATGATCTGCATCTGTATAATCAAGGTTACCAGTTATACTTTTTATGATGGAACCGAGACCATCTACAAGTCCTCTTTTCTCACGGTTTGTTTTAAAGCTTCTCAACTGTATGGTGACACTTTCAAGCTTATTTTTAAGATAATCAATATGAGGCTGAAATAAGGAATTAGTTATGTTGTTAAGGTTAGGGCTAATACTGATTAACTGTATTTTAACTGAATTTACTTTATCTCCTAATTCCTTGAGATTTACATATTGCAGAAATGCATGGTAGTGGGATAGGATTCGAGCGGGGCCTAATTTGAAGGGTGATATACCAGGTCCATCACTAAGACTTTCAAGTCTTATCTCCTGCATTAGAGCTGGTCCCAGAAGGAGATGAAGTACCAGGAGAGTCCTGTAACAATTGGTTCGTTTTAGGTATTCTCTTCAATCGAGTTTTTGCTACGGGGCCTCGTTTTTTCTTTGTATAAATGTGAATTGGGAGGTTTGCCATTACTGTGTCGTGTGTGTATTGAGGAGCTAATTTCTTACGGGATGCGAATGGATTTTTTATAAAGATTTGTTGTTCCGGGGAATATTCAGCTTCCTGTTCTCGGTTTTTATTGCGAGTATCAGTCAAGTCTTTACGCATGTCGTTACATAGGTCGTGAATAGTTTTATAGGTCTCAGTCATTCTGTCTTTGTGGTTTACGACGTACTGTTGAAGTAAGTGGGCGGACAGATCTATGTCAAAAGGATCGCGAGGGTCAAAATGTCCTGTAATTACTTCTATTGGTTTGCATTTTGTGAAGCTATGTATACTATGATTGTAAGCTAATAGGGCATAGGGCATAAGGTTAATAGCGGATTCAGTCTTTTGATTTATCTTTAAAATACGGAGATGTTCTAATATGGTGGCGGCAAATCGTTCAACGATACCATTTTCGTTGGGTGCATGTGGGGCTACTCTATGGTGCTGAATTTTATGAAGTCTAACGAATTCTGCAATAAGTTGGTTGGTAAACTCAGGGCCGTTATCGGAAACTATGGTAATTGGAATTCCATGATGTGTGCAGAAAATCAGTAAAGCTTGTACTACACTGACAGCAGTGCCGTCTCGCAAATAATACGCCTGAGCATATTTAGAAAAACTATCTACTATTGTCAAATACTTTTCCCCTTGAATTGTTAATAGATCTACGTGAACTAGTTCAAAAGGCTTAGAAGCTGCTGGTACAATTTTAAATTTCTGTTTAACTGGATTGCGGTCGTATTTAGCTTGTCCGCATACTGTACAGTCATTAATAAATTTAGTAATATGCTCTCTCATTTTTGGCCAGTAATATTTGCGGGACAGAGCCGAGAAACACTCGTTAATGCCTCGATGGTTTGTCTTTCCATCGTGATATTTATGAATGATTTCTTGCTGTCTTAAATACTCCCTAACGTTTTCCAATTCACTTTTTGTTAGAAAAAGGTTAAGAGATGAACTTTTAAAAGACTTTTGTATGATTGGTATGACAGTGTACATTGCAGAGTTTGGATTAATGAGTAATCCTGTCCTAATTTTCGGATGGACGTATTCTTTTATAGCATTAATGACATCCTCTTCTATGTTTGATTGAGCTATTTGTATCGTAATGCGTGTGTGTGTTTCGAATGGTTTAGTGATAACTGGTCTAGCTTTTATGTCGCCTACTATATTTAAGATTATTTGCTTAGTGAACTTATTTAGCGGTTCGTCAGAAATGGGAACTTCGAGGATGGGGTTTTCTTTATCTGTATGAACGGTGATGGTTCTGGAATCGTCTGCGGCTTCGGTAGCCGTTATAGTCCTAGAGTCATCTAAAGTGTGTACCCCTTCGGAAGGATTAGGTAAAATGGAAAGCAATTCATCTATTATGGGTCTTAGCTCGTCATTGTGAAGTTCGATGCGTGATAGTGCATCGGCATTCGTGTTGCACTTGCCTTGTTTATATACGACACTAAAGTCATATTCACTTAACTTAAGGCGCCATCTGGTTAGACGCGAATTGGGTTCTTTTAAGCTCATAATCCATTGTAAGGGTTTATGGTCTGTAATAATTTTGAACTTAAGGCCGAATAAATAGGGACGGAAATACTTAGTCGCCCATACGATAGCTAAAAGTTTCTTTTCTATCGTGCTATAGTTACTTTCGCTGGAGTTAAGTGTACGAGAAGCATATGCAATGGGTTTATCTGAACCAACTGTTCCCTGTGATAAAACTGCACCAATCGCCACGTTTGAGGCATCGGTTGTCAAAATAAAATCTCTACTGAAGTCTGGATACTGTAAAATTGGGTCATTTGTTAAGAGAGTTTTACAGTGTTCAAGCAGTTAATATAATTTTGATCTAATGTTATCTTTGATCCCTTTTTAAGACATTGAGTGAGTGGTTTTGTGAGACGTGCGAAGTCTGGTATAAATTTTCTATAATATCCTAGAAGTCCTAGAAAACGCTTAATTTCGGTTGTAGTTTTTGGCAGTGGGTATTTTTCGATGGCTTTAATTTTGTCTGGGTTGGGTTTAACGCCGTTTTTACAAATAACATGACCTAGAAACTCGGTTTCCAGCTTCAAAAACTCTGATTTATCCATCTGAATTTTGAAGTCTGATTCCCGTAGCCTTTTGAATACTTTTTCCAGATTTGTTATATGTTCTTGTAAGGATGTACTGAAGACAATTATGTCATCTAGATACACTAAACAAATTTCGTTCTGTAAGTTCTTTAATACGTTGTCCATCACCCTTTGGAAGGTCGATGGACTATTTTTCAGGTCAAATTCTCTACATTAAAAGCAGTTTTGTGAATATCCGCGGGATCCAGTTCTACCTGATAAAATCCACTGGCTAAATCGAGCGTGGTGAAATACTGACATTTGCCCAGTTTGTCTAGAACATCGGTTATATTAGGAATAGGATATTTGTCATCGACTGTCTTTTCGTTCACCTTCCTGAAGTACACAACAAGACGCCATTTTATTTTGCCGGAAGCATCCGCCTTTTTGGGTACAATCCAAATAGGAGAGCTCCAAGCAGAATCCGATGGTCTAATTATATTTTGCTCGAGCATCTTATTGATTTGGTCCCGGACTTCCTGTCGGTGGACATACGGATATCTGTAGCTCTTAGTATGTACGGAAATTTCATCATGTGTTTTAATTCTATGTTTGATCTTGTTGGTGAATGTTAAAGGTTCACCATCAAGGTAAAACACGTCGGCATATGAGGCGCATAACCGTTGTAGGTTTGCTAGCTCTTCAGGATTAAGATGATCGGTGCGAAGACGGGATAGAACATTTTTAGCGCGATCCGATAACGTTTCAGTAAACTGGCACTCGACATTATATATTTCGGCTTCTACCGGACGGTCCATTGAAAAAATTACATGATTTGAGCTGTTATTGGTAATTTCGACCCAACCACGATTATTAATTAACTTCGTTATACAATCAGAGATTATGCAGTTGCAAATTATTTGATTTTCAACTACTACGTCACCGTCCTTTGAGTTTATAGGCAACCTAACTAATTTTGATGACTGCGCGGGTATAATTTCTTCATATAAATTAGCGTTACGTGAGTCATACATTTCGATGGGAATTTTTGCGTTACGAGTAATAAGTAATTTATTTCTAAGATCGATATTAGAACCCCATATGTCTAGTAAATCAAACCCTATCAGTCTGTCGAAGTAATTATGAAATCTATAAATGAACAAGGTTATATTATCTCGTTCATTAAATTCTACAGGGCATGGGAGAGTTATAGAATAATTATTTTTACTTGTCGCGTGAACATTGGTGACCTCGAATGGGTCATAATTCAGTGGAATATGGCTAAAATATTTTCTTACAGCTTCGGGACTAATAAACGATTGGTTTGCGCCGTTGTCTATTAAGAATTTCAGTGGGGAATTACTTGTCTGAATGTAACCGAGTTGCCTTTGTATGTGGAAATTTATTTCTATTTTTGTTTTTCTGATTTGGGACATTTCCGAAAATCCTCATCATTAGTCGGGGTGAAACTACTATCTACTTCCTCTACGATAGGATCTTCTGCGTGGTTATACGGTGGCTCGTATCCATAGTTAGGATATTGTTCGTAAGTACAGTACTCTTGATTATAGTTATAGTCAGGATAGTCGTATTCATAGTACGCGTCGGTGCTATAGTCGTAGTCAAAATCCGTCTCGTTAAAGTTTACCTCCCGTGTTTTAAAGTAATTGCTCGGCGGTGGGTTGCCAAATCGTCTCCAGTCATGTCCAGTCGGTGGTAAGGGTTTCGGAACAAAGGGAGTGACACCGCTCGTAGGAGAAGGGCGCGAATTATTATTTAAATTGAAGCCCTGTGGTTGCTGAGGTCTGTTAGGAAGCTTAAACACATTACTCTGGGGGTTATAATTTGGTGGAGGAGCACGCATCATCTGTAGCGTACGAGTGGGACCGCGTGGTACATGCATCTGGGGTGGTAGATTGGGCCTCCAACCATGTGCAGCATGCGGTTGCATAGGTGGCTGTCTAAAAGAGTTCAGTATATTAATACCCTGTGGTCTAGGTAGTGACGGCATGTTAAATGTGGTAGGTTTTGGAAGAAAATTATTTAATGGTAGATTAGAGCTAGGGGTAGGTTGAGTCCATTCTTTCCTATTCTGGCTGCCTTCATTTCGTTGTTGGAGGTAGAGGGTGTTTAACTCCTCCTGCACGAATTCAAGTGCTTTCTCCATACTTTCGGGACGCATACATCTTATTCTAGACCCTAGGGGGTCTTTTAATCCGCGTAAATAGGCTTGCAAGGTCAGTTTTTTATAGAGTGCGCGCTTAGCTTCGATGGTCGTACTAATCGTTTCATGTAAAGTGACATAGGTCATTATTGTACTAAATAAACTTTGAACTCGCTCGTAAAGTTCTTGCGGGGTACTAGACCCTTGGTTTTGTAGTGATAAATCACTGTATAATGCGGTTTCGTCGCGAAGGTCGGCGAAGTTATTTATAAGAGCGCTTTTGATGCCGGCCCAGGTTTCGGGTATTCCATTCGAATTTATTAGCCTAGCCGCGGGCCCAGTTATTTTATTTAAAATCCCGTTAATAAGAGAAAGATTGGCTAGTTCGTATCCGGGCTCATTTCTTACGTGGGCTAACACAAGTTGATCGCACAGGTTAATAAAGCGCGTAAGGATGTACGGGTTACCGTCAAATTCGGGCAAAACTCTAAGTGACTTATAAACTAGGTCTATTTCGTTTGATTGGGCCATACTATCGGTTTCTAAACCTCTGTTCTCGTCTATAATACTAAGCTTAGAAGTCCTACTACTATCTAACCTAACGTTCCGTGTTCCCCTTGGATGGAAAATTTTGGAAGCTTTATACTAACACAGTTAAAATGCAATAAAATACAATAGAAAAAAAAGTGTATATAAAATTAGGATAGAGTAAAAAAAAATAATTACGGAACTAGGAAGGGTAAGGATTGAAAGATTCAAGCACTTACAGCATTACTTCTTCTTGCGGAATCAATGCCTGGATTCGCCTCTGGACTGGTGCTCCCGTAGATTCTGTATCTTCTTGGTCACTCTTGATTCACTGACTCTACTTTAGAAGATCCTACCGACTGCGCCATTTATGTGGGCTCCAGCCAGAGGTTGCAAAAAAAAGCAATCTTTATTTAATATATATTAAATTTAAAGTAATTATTACAATTAATTCTTATAACTAAGTGAGGTGACTCTAATTCGATGTTTGAATGTAGAATGGATTCACACGGTAAAATAATAGAACCAGGTAATACAAGACAGTAGACACGTTATGCTGACACGGCGCCTCGTGATCGTCGTAAGCCGATGCAACGCAGCAGATTGCCTGGATTAGGGCTGCGTAACACTCTAAAATACTGAAAATAGTTTTGCTTAATAAACAATCCAACATTAATTTAGGCAACTGAGAGCGAGCATTGAATTTCAGCACTTTTGCAGAATACGAGTATAATTTTGTGCACAATGACACGAACAATGTCATTCAAGCACTGAAAGAAAGGCCTGATTCATCGCGAAAAACATTTTATTTCAAGAATTGTGGATTGAGCACATTTGGTATTGCAATTTTTTATCTTTGCTTAGTATTTACTACGTGGTAGGACTACTTTTCTACCGCGGAGTTAATCTGGGTACCACTCTCTTACCTATTTTATCCTCCAAGTAACCTAATTTTAGATTTAATTTAAAAAAGTTAACTTACGCTAGCATTTTTTCCGGTATCGTGAGTGCATTTTACATACATCAGATTCATAAGGACAAACATCTTTTGTAGGCCATTCAAATACTAGTTCCGAGCGGGATTAACACCCGCGGCCCTCAGCGCAGCAACTCATTGCCAAGCCAATGACATACTCGCATAATAGAAGCAGAGTGCGCACTGCTATGTCGCGGTCTATAACGGAACGTAGGGCTCTTCGGTTCGAACAAATATGATTGCTCGCAGGTACTGATGGCGCTTTTCCGTCGCTGCAGCGCATCAGCGATTTGATTTGATTGCTTGAGCTCATGTAGATTGTTTTTACGCAACTATGTGTAAAAGAGCTCTAACTTTGGTGCGCAGGGTTAGGGCCAGCCCTAACAGCATTCTTTAAATGACAGGTGACAGAGTGTACTGTCCCTATATGTGCACAGCAGCTGGACATATGCATTATTTAGCATTAAGTAAAAATTGAAAATTAACAATTTTAATGTGTGCATCCAATGTCAAGATAATAATAGGCTATTTGAATAAAATGAGTTCTAAATACTTGAAATTAAATAAATAATAATAAAAATTGGATATAAAGAGCTAGTATATGATATGCTGTGATACATTCCATATAGTCCTCATAGGTGACAACACATCTGAAAACCCTCTATTTCTAGATAACTTTGTGATAATCTTTTTGTACTTTTTTAACTATCATGTGTGATTTGATACAAATAAAAATCTTTATTATTATTAATATTATTATTTAAAGTCGGTTGCTGGTGTAAATGGGTTGCCGTGGCCAGTTACCCTCAGTTGGTCTGTGAGCTCGATTGATGATACTTCAGTTCATTAACAAAACACTACAGTAATATTAATAACACTGTGTCACAATTTGATCAGGGACTTATAGGTCCCATGTTTATGTGGGACTCGTAAAAAAATAACACGCTATATGTGGGATATTGGGTTTCTAATCGTGCGAGAGTTAACATGGTACCAGTAACTTGCTGCTCTTTGGACTTTGCCTCCCTCTCGTGAATCACAAGCGTATCAGTATGTATGTATGTATATATGTATGTTTGTAAAATATAAGTTATTCATTAAGACATAAAAGTAAATAATTAATCTTGACATACATTCGTCCCAAACCTGTGCACCTAACCTTTCACTTCTGAGCAATGAACTATATTATTTATTCTAGTAAGTAGTACAGATTATGTACTACTTACTAGAAATAGACATCGCGAATAAAATCTGTGCGGCGGTGCGGGGCGCGGGGTCGGAGCCACAGGGTACCTTTTCATGGGGTGCGAAGTCAGAAGTCCTCCACGTGTGCCTGGTAGTTGCGGGTCCCTCTCGATACGTCTGGAGGGAAGAGCAGCTACTGGGCCGGTGCACCCTGGGCGCGGCAGTAATCTTCCTCGAGAAATGAGAAGAAATTCTTAGTCCTTGGGGAAGGTTACTGCCGCGGCTAATTATTCTGACATGGGTGGGGTCCGTCCCGGACCAACGGCGCGTTCCACTGCGTGACCCTCTGATCAGCAGAGGGCATAGCAGAGGAGTGAGGGCGGGCTCGGTGTGCACTTACCCTGCCTCCGGGCAGACAGTGAAGGATTCATCCTTTGCTGTCACCGCCGGTCTCGTAATCCCAGTATCGAAGTGTCGTGGATCATGTCTCGCGGCTTTGATTGGGACCGAGGGTCTTGGCTTAACCGCCCGGACCGCGAGGGAGAAAACCTCTATAAAAAGTTACCCCGAATCTCAAGCGGCGACGCACCGCGAGGGGATGGATGGCTGACGGGGTTCTATGAACAAATCAGTCGATAGTGCGCTCCTCGCCAGGGTACCTG